AGCACTGGCACTGGCTAACGTAGCCTGAGAGGTCATTGCTGGTACCCAGCCTGAGGCTTACCCAGGCATCACCACAAACAGCGTCTCCTTCCATTTGTACTGAGAGCTTCTTCGGTCCCTAGTCACTACCACGTGCTCAGGGGACACGTGGACCTGCAGCTGGGGATTCTTGAAAGTCACCTCGATCCATGAGAACTGGGCCTTCTCCATCTTATACTCGCCAGTCACCTCGAGACCTGAGAGAGCCGGGAGCAGAGGTCAGAGGCATGGCCCTCTGTGATTACGTCCCTGAGAACTGCCCTTCACCAACCCCCTCCTCACTGCCCTTTCCCAGCATTCCCTCACACTGGAGTCTGCTTTCCACAATCTTTTCTCTCCTCCCTTGGTTGCATTTGACGTTGGAAGCACCACAAATCCTCAGTGATGGACACTTTCAGGTGAGCCCTCAGAGAAGGGTGATCGTGTCTGAAGTCCATGAACATTGATAAAGCGCATTAGTGTGCGGGGCCCTGAGCTAGGTGCCATGGCCAAGAGTGAGATGGCAAATCAGCGGTCCCCGCCCTCAGGGAGCAAACAGACTCTAGGCCTGGTGTGTGGAGGTGGGAGGCCGTGTGTGAGCATCCCTGAGTGCTGTATGTCCCCACGTCTGACTTGACACCTCAGCTCAACCAGTACGACCCTTCTGGGGGGTGGGGAGCAGGTCTGGTCAGCACACCTCCCTCCTCTTGCCATTCGTCTCCTCCAGACTCTCTTCGGTCCCACTACTATCTTTCAGGACTCTGGGCTTCTCCCAACCTCTGCCTCTCCCTAGTAAACCCCCACTTGTCTGCCAAGGCCCAGTCACTCCTGTGTGACCCTGTGCAGCCTCATATGCCCCTCAAACAGCCCTGGCCTCCTCTTCTGGGCTTCTGCCTCTAGGCTGCTTTGGGCACTGACTGCAGAAGGTTTCTCTGGAAGGTGACTGGTCAGGGCCTCACCTTGGTCAGGGTCTGAGAGCAGGAGTAATAATGGCCCCGGGGTGCTCTTGATGTCCACACAGAGCTGGTCCACGCTCTGCCCAGGCAGAGGCAGGATGAAGGTCGGAGCCTGGATGGGGGCTGGGGCAGCAGATGCGGTTCTTGGGGCAGGTAGAACATCTGGAGGGCAGCGACGGGAAGGGGGGCTGAGGGGGGCAGGCACCTTACCTGGTGGTGGGGCTGTTGGGCTTGTTTCTGAAAGAAAAAATCTTTGTTTAGGCATCCCCTTCCTCACAGTTGGGGGCAGGGGGAATTGAAGGATACAATCGTGTATAAATGTGGCCAGGGTTCCTACTCCACTTCAACATTGAGAAACATGTAACAGGTTCCTAGAGATCCCCAGGGCTCAACCATCCCAGGGTCTTCCTGCTATAGGGTGCTTATCTACTTCAGGGAATCTGGTCTGGGGACGTACCTTCCAGTGTCTCATCCAGGTAATCAAACACTACAGTGGGACTGGAGAAGGAGAAAGATTCTAGTACAGGATTGGCCAGAAACGGAAAGGGAGAAGGCAGTCAGGATTCAGAGCAATCAGCATGCCCTCCAGACACCACTGCCACCTGCACACTCCAAGCTCCAGCCCTGCGACCCCTGCCCCACTTTCACCCAACCTAGGAGAGCACACTTTTAGGAAAAACTGAGGAGACAGGGTCCAGCCTTGTGTTGGGCTGGGTCTGAATCCAGACTGGAGATCAGAAACAGCTCATGGGGCCACTCATGGCTTGGGGAATGGTGGGAGCCTTCCCTTTCTAGAAGGTTCCATCCTAAGCCAGCCTGCAGAGTGTAATGAGTCTGGTTCAGTGAAACTAAATGACACACTGCTTCATGTCAAGCCCCACATCAACTCTGCCTGGTCGGTGCCCAGCCCTGTGCAGGGTGCTTGCTCTCATCCAACTCTACAGGCTGGCTGACCATCCCCTTGGGGAAAGGAGGCCTCCGAAGTCAGAAAGTGGCTCACCCATCCCGCTCGGTAGCCTCGGATCCGGATCCGATTTAGAGAATGGAAAAAGATAATTGGAAGGAATAGGAAATCCAGGTGGTCCAACACTCATTTCGGCCACGTCATGAACTCGAACGTACGGAGAAACTCCAGCTTTAGAAAGGTTAACACCTGCAGTCTTGGCTCAAGCAGAGTCATGGGTCCCCACCACCAGGGCTCTGGGACCCACCCCGGGAGACAGATGTACAGAGGGCAGATGGCTCCCTTCCCCACACCCACCACTCTGAGAGCCTCTCCCCCTTCAGCCAGGAGAAATTCAAAGCCGGAAAAGGAACCCTTCTTGAATTCCTCCCACCC